AACATTTTTTAGCAGAAGAGTTTTGCTTCAATTTTCCTCCAGATGTTTGTTATAGTTACATCCCTAAGTGACAGATAAAGATTCTGCTTGTCCATACCTAATCTAGCACCTCTCCCTCGGCCTAAGCGCATATGAGACTTCCATAACAACGCCAACAAGTTCGGCACAATAATCAAACAAAATAACGGTAGTATACTACGCGATACGAGGCAAAAAAATTTAAATTTTTTCCTGTGCAACCGCAGCTTCCAAGGACTAGAGAGAAGTACTGACAGCCAGCCGAGAGTCCACTTCCTTTAATGACACTTTAGTAAATAGGTGAACCTTACTCACACAGCGAACACACACACACACATAATCTAAAAGTCGTATGGAAAAGCCGATAAACTGACAACCACATAATATTGCCGTGTGGTCGCACCGCCATCGGATGGGGAAATAATATATAATCTAAACACCAAAAGAAAGAAGAGCCTACCTACTAAAGTGGATACTCTAATCTCAAGTTGACGTTTACAAGCAACCGCACCACGGCGACTCAGCGCTATTGCACACCGAAATCTTACAGACAAATATACATGGGAGTACATACATATGTACTGTAAATACTTGCATTCGAGCAGTCGGTATATGTATGTATTTATGTAGTTAGTGTAATTTTTAGTAAATCCATTTGCGAAATTTAAACTGCAGCTTTGACTGTGAACCTCCAGCCCAAGTTACCGCAATGAACGGAGCAACCGCCCAACAACGAGCTTGCACTGTCACTTGCGCGCCCGCACTCTCTCACCGCAAATGCAGTAAAGCAATCGTTCTGAATGCTGATGCTAGTGGAAGGCAGCTTATGCAAATGAACGCTGCCAAAGAAGCAGAAACAAAGCGCAAATCATTTACATAATGAAAAAGCGTAAAAGGAAAAAACGCCAAGAGGCAGTGGAGCGCAAACAAGCGGCATGTGGCATGTGGCATGCAGCAGCGTGTTGCACCAATGAATGTGCCGCAATGAATGCTATGGAATTCCTTCGCACTCGAGCAGGAAATTGCGCGCGCTCGCATAAATGTTGACTGACAAAAAGCAGGCTTGTCTTTGTCTCTACGTATGTATGTCGTGTTCTCGTGCCAAAATCAGCGAAGGATGTTGAGGTAAACGAGGTATAGGTGAGCGTACACACTTACAAAGGTGCGTTAGTACAAGTGTAAGATGTAGTGTGTTCGTATGAATGTAGCCTAAGTAGAAGGTGCTTTATAAAATGACAGCTATGTAATGTGCACAGGCAGCACAACAGCAAATACAGAAATGCTACAAGTAGACAACAACACAACTACATACATAGTAAAAGCGAAACGTCAAACTGTCGACCTGTCGTCCTGTCGTCCTGTCTTGAACGTGTCGGCAACGCTGTGTTGTTGCCTCTAACCTACAGCATTTTACTGATTTCCTGGCAGCCATTAACTGTCAGTGTCAAATGCACTTCCTATCCTGCCGCCGTTGTTGTTGTTGTTGTTGCAGTTTTGTTGTTTTGCCTTTACAGTAGCTTCGTCTTACCGCAAAAATGCGTATTAAACACCTTCTATTTACACTCGACCAAGCGATTGTCACCCACTGTTTGCTTCCGGCGGGATCTGTAACCCCTGCGTGGTAGCGTAAAAGGAGCACCACAAAACCGCAAACCGAATTGGAAATGTCATGGCAAGAAAGTACTTTAATGGTGCTAGAGTTGCATGGCGCTGCAAATGTACTAACAAACGACTATACGTTAGGGTGGTCCAAAAACAGTGAAGTCAGACTTGTAATGCTCTCACCCCCTAGGATTGTTCTATATCAAAAAAAAATTTACCCCTATTTTTTTAAGTTTTTCGTAAATAAAAATAATGGAATTCAAAGTGGAAAATTTTACTCACCACAAAAAAAAAACTAGGATGTGGTGGGCAGAATTTTAGAATTTGACTTTCACGAATGGATACGTTTGGGCATAGTTGGGTTAAGGCCCGAAAATTACTGGTCCCCTGAGTTAGAAATACTTTAACCATCCTGGATTTCAATATGGCTGCGATTACACAACTCCTTGGCTCCGTAAATCGAACTTAACAGTCCTTGCGACTTACTAATCAGTATGCAAAACGAATTGACCACCATTAAAAAAACGACTGGTTAGGTATTTTTCAACTAACATATTTGTTCAAAAAAATTATTCCAATGTAAATTTAAGTATTTTGATAATTAATGTAGCAGATATAAGAGCCAAAAATGGTTTTGTTTGATTCCAATGTTTTAAGGAATCAGCAATAATAAAAGCACTTTATATTATGTGCTGGTTGATTTTTCCGATAGGGTGGTAAGATGATTTATTTTGGAACGAATTTCCATCGTCCCTTGTCAAACTTGGTTTGCAGACAAACCGGTTTCGGCGTTGTGCCATCTTCGGTGTAATTTTTTGTTCTGTTTTCTGGAGAAAGAAAAATTACACTGAAGATGGCGCAACGCCACAACCGGTTTGTCTGCAAACCAAGCTTGACAAGGGATGACGGAAATTCGTTGTAAAATAAATCACTTTATATTACTTTCTTTATTTAAAATCGCAATAATATTGAATTTTTTCTTCAGAGTGATATTGTCACAAGCAAAAAACAACGGGTTATATTTAGTATGCCCTTTTATATAATGTAAATAAAAGTTTAAGACTAATGTTCGAATCACTTATTAATGGTTCAAAACTTTTACATATTATATTCATATAAATTTTATGGCTGTCATACATATAGTAATGGTAGGTAGGCATCCAGCCGTGTACATTTTTTAAATAAATTTTTAGAGTCCGACCGATTAAAATTGAGCATCGGCATCGGCATCAGCCCGTTTTCGCCGATTCTTTGGAATTTCTTTGCATATGTCCAGGTGAAGTGACAGACAACAGCCAACATCAAAAAACATTTGCAGAGAGCTCACAAAAATTATTATTTTTTGGTTGAAGGTGTTTTACGTTTTGTCCGTACAAAAGTGTGTTCGACAATTTTCTTTTATATGGAAGACACTGCCAGCAAAAAAAAAACATACAAAAATTAACGGGATTTTATAGCAGCTCGAAAGTTGCACTTCATTATACTAGAATCAAATGGTCTACAAAACTGCATACCAAAATGCTGATTAAAAAGTTGGAAATTTTGGTGAAAATAAGAATAATTTTTCTAATTTTTGTACAAAGTTTGATATGCGTTTTTTTTTTTGAAATATCTTGTTCTCACAAAAGCATGATTTTTAAGTAGTTAAGCATATTTTTAATATTACAATGCAAGTTATCGCAACAATTTTACCATTTCGCCATTGATAAAACGGGCATTTTGATTGTGTTTTTAATGTATTTCATCTGCCCCCTTCCACCCCCGCAATCGATCACTTCACATTTACGCAGCGTTGCCATTTTAGCCGTTTCCCGGCTAGATTTAGCCGGTTTTGATAGCAACTAGCCGGAGAAAATTCGATCTAGCCGGCAGCCGATTTGTTAGCCGGTTTGTAAAAAAAAGTTAGCCGTTTTTAGCCGATTTTACTATTTGCCTAATTTTCAGGTGCAAAAAGTAAACAAGTTGTTCGAAAGCAATAATGCAGACCCAATGAAGATTTTTAATGAACTCAATGTTTTACTTTCGCATCTATGCTCCCTAGTGGTTATTAGCGCGGACACATTTGATCCTATATGCTCCCCGTTGGAACCATACCTTGCTCCATTTCCTCAGTTGTATCACAGTTTTGAACAGTATTTAAAAACAAAAGTAAACACAAACGCTTTTGACCACGAAGCCGAGAAAATAATTCGAGAAAATGGTCGCTATTTTATTTAATAAAGGAATTACGCCAACACCTCCCTACAAATATTGCCACACTAAAAAAAATTGACTTTTTTCGGTTGGAAATGCATTAAGAGTAATTAAACCAAAAGTATTTGTTCAACTACAGCAACAAAAACACAAATATAATGCCGACGAAATAATATCCATAGAGATGCAATGGCAACGGTTAACGTTACATACCTGCAGTAATATAGACTCAACTGTAAAATTTTGGGCCGAAGTTTATCAATTTCGAAATGCCCTAGGAGAAAACCCTTTTGCTGACCTTTCCAACCTAGTTTTTAGTTTTCTTGTTTTGCCTATAAGTAATGCAGAAGTAGGGCGAATATTTAGTTCAATGAATGTAATAAAAACTAAGCAAAGAAATCCAATGTGCGTTAAAACGTTAAACGCTCTTTTATATATAAGATACGGTTTAAAACGTGAAGAAAAATGCTGCCATAATTTTACTGTAGATGACGATCTCTTAAAATTAATGAATTCAGGTGATATATACAATAGTGATTCATTTGATGATGAGGAATATACACTCGATATAAATTAATGGTGTTAACTAGTCTTTCGTTTCTTGCGATTTTTTAAATAAAGCATGGGAATTTTCACTAAAACATTTTAGCCGTTTTTAGCCGCTTTTTTTTGCCAATCTAGCCGGTCGGCCCAAAAAGTTCTGGCAACACTGCATTTACGAACTTACTTTCACTTTTTATATGAATCTTATTTGCACAAATTTACACCACTCACATTTTTGCTAACTTCACAATTTTCTTTCTTTCTTCATCTACTTTTTTATATCATCTTATATTGAATCCAATTAAATGAATTGTTTGCAAACACCTCGTTTTATAATAACAAAAACATCAAATAAAAAAATTATAACAATCAAAAAAAAAAATACTAAAACAACTACAACACTTCTACTACTATTACAACCAACAAACATCATTACAAATACTATTTATCACTTATAAATCAAAATTTAAATCATAAATAACAACTAAAAAAACAAAAACATAAATTGATTGTCAAATGCGAATCGAAATGCACAAACATGAATTGAATTAAAAAAAAAAAAAAACAAAAAAAAAACATCAATCAACCTTCTTCCATCGTCTTCATCGTTGACTATTTATGTCGATGGAAACGCTTGATTGAAGGTTACCGGATTTTGTCGTTCACCTCAGGAAACCCGTAAATCCAGCCCGACCGGCTCTGTCACATCTTCAGTCTCGAATGCCGCACTGACACCGTCTCGTCAGCTTACCGATGCCGAGAAACTGCGCAAGGTTATCTTGGAATTGGTCGATACAGAACGCACTTACGTTAAGGTGAGTGAAAGCTTAAATAGATTAATATACGTATGTATCTACATACATATAGTAAACATCATATTACATATCTCCATACTAGCGTGACAGGTATACAAAATTATTACTCCATTTCATTTTTTTTATGAAGTAGCCCATCATTTCGGAATAAATATTAAAAGCTTCGAAGAACCTATTGTACATATATACAGATATATGTATATGTAATATGTACATTAGCGTGTCCCAGAACATAAAAAATATTTTTTTCCAAAATTGTATATGCATTGTATGTATTGTATATGTAGACTGTCCCAAGAGTAGGCGTGTTTTTCTTACACGCATACGTATCTGCGCTTAAAATTTTTATGGAGCAGTAAGCGACAACCTTTATGTGCTTTTATGAATAGTTGTCGATTAAATCTAAATTACTTGTTTTCAAATGGAAATTGTCGATGCTTGTTTTTTTTTCACACGTATGTATGCGTGTAAAAAACCACGGCTAATATATGGAAACAAATTTTTTGCAAATTTTGATATGCATACCCTCTGGTTTTGTGCTTTTTTAGCCTAAATAGCATATGTATGAAGTTTTGTGGCCGTAGGGTAACGACTTTAGTTGAAATTTTAGTTCGTAAATTTAATTAATCATCCATGAAAACTTTTAGAAATGCGAAATATTCGATATGCTTCCCATATTTGCACGCATATATAGTAAATCTGCATTCTTTACATTTTTAGTAGGACGGCAGGATTTCGAAACAATTATTTAAAGAAAAATATCCTATGCAATATTTATCCTTCAATTCTTTACATATATTTATAGGATTTAAATTAAACTAGGACTCATCGGAATACATTCAAAATTAAAAATCTTTAGGGATAATATTTTTATAAGACATTTTCGACTGCTTCGAAAAGGATAATTGAAAACAAAAGTTTTGATTTGAATTCTTCTTTCGATTGATACCCATATATCCATATTTTGTGTAGACTTTTAGAAATATATTATAATGAATGGTCCTTTGGAAAAAATCCTGACTATCTGGTAAAAAAAACCAAAAACGCAGATTTACTTAATATTTTGCCCTAACACTGTAGGGAGTATAGTAATACCACTTTATGTATATAGAAGTAAAATGAGTAACAAAGCACACAAACTGCTTAAAGCTTATTCTGATAACTTTGACTGCAAGTCGGCACGGGTTGCCGTGGTCGAATAAAATAAGGGGGTGTGCGTTAGAAAAAAAAAACTATGGGTTTTTGGGACAGTCGAAAATGTTTTTTTTCCTTTTGGTCTGAATACTATATACTTAGCCTTACCTTAAAAAAGTTTTTTTTTTTGCTTTAGGGTGAAGATAACCCGTACTGAAAAAGAAGTGGCTCTGAAATTATTTACCACACCTTGCGACCAAAGTTCTCGCACCTGAATTATTTTACGCTTTTTTCCGGGATACTACGAGTAGTTAAGCTCAAACGTAGTAAGCCTGTGTTTTTAGTTTTCAGTAACGGTTAGGTAAAGTGAGGTTATCTCCTATTATCAAAGGTGCACACCGTAGCCACAGGAGTCGAGAAGAGAGGATTTCTAACCCTAAAAATCTGAGTCGCTAACTCTAAAGTCATTCACCTCATTTTAACAACAAATACAAAAATTGCTTTATGTGGCTCCGCATCTGACGAAGATTGTCGATGTCTTGTCTAAGCGATTGTAGGAGTTTTCGATAATTCTAAACTCCTGTCGAGTTATGTAGTTGCTGCCAACCGTAGACGCTTAACCGAAGCGTGAAAGTACGCTATTTTTGCTATTCTTATCGTGGTGCAATAATATTTACCTTTTTATCAATGTTTTTGACCTTTTCACCACGATTTGTTTGTTAGGAAAAATGGGGTAAAAAAACAAAGTCTAAGTGGTTGAAGTTATAGCTGCTATTTCCTCATCAAACTTCTTCTTCTATACTTCAGCAGGAATCGTAACCTCATAATCGATGAGCTTAGCCAGCAACGCTAACCACTTAGCTATACACACCCCGTAAACTCTTGTTGCTAATCCATTTCATTATTCAGTCAACTTTAGTTCCATCTGCTAAATTTTAAATCTCATCGCTACTTAAGACGGAATTAGGTTTAAGTACCTTCTGAGGCCTAAGTCGATCTCCGTGATCTGGTAGTCAAATGCTGTCGCTTTTTTGCCCCAATTCTATTTCTTTGTTTTGAAATTTATGTCTATAGTTCGAATATCCAGGCGTGTTTCTAACGGAGTGTTTCTGGTACATATATGTAGATTTGCCGATGTTTTCTTCTTTGAACAGGGTGTCCAACGCCTCTAAAATGGAGGGAAATATTTTTAAAGGCGGAAATATGACCAACCAAATCGGGGGAGGATGGTTCCGTGCGCAGAAGTGGAAAACTTTTGACTGCCATTCACCTGGGAGTGGCCAGAAGCGATTATTGTGCGTACGGTTCAAATCGCAGCTCACAACGTCCGGATATTTATATCCACGTATCCTCTGGGTAGCAACCAAACACCCGTTTGGGAGCGAGCTAAAGTGAGAAGGCGTAAAACTTCGCGTGCGCTGGGTTTGGGTCCCGCCACGTTAAAACCCCGCCCAATGAAAAATTCCAACAAGCCTCGGATGAGACCCCCTTTTTCTGATGACGACCACGGCAAACGTATAAAGGACTATGATTTAAGGGTATGCACCTGGAATATCCGGACCCTTAATGGGGAAGGTGCCTCTGCCCGGCTGGTTGATGTCCTCGGGAAGACAAAGGCTGACATCACCGCCATCCAAGAAATGCGATGGACGGGGCAAGGTAAAGTAAGCGTGAAGCCTTGCGACGTCTACTACGTAAAGGAGCGCAAATTCGGTGTTGGATTCGTGGTAGGAGAGAGACTCCGTCGCCGAGTACTGGCGTTCACCCCGGTGGACGAACGTCTAGCCACAATCCGCATCAAAGCTAGATTCTTCAACATCTCGCTCATCTGCGCCCATGCCCCGACGGAAGAGAAGGATGAGGCGTCCAAGGATCTCTTCTATGAGCGCTTGGAACGTACATATGAGCGCTGCCCCCGACACGATGTCAAAATCGTGCTTGGCGATTTTAATGCTAAGGTGGGCAAGGAAGGGATCTTTGGCGCCACTGTCGGAAAATTCAGCCTCCACGACGAAACGTCCGATAACGGACTGAGGCTGATCGACTTCGCCGGGGCTCGAAATATGGTAATATGTAGTACTAGGTTCCAGCATAAGAACATCCACCAAGCTACATGGCTGTCTCCAGATCGAAAAACGAGAAACCAAATCGATCATGTTGTGATAGACGGAAGGCATGCTTCAAGCGTTTTGGACGTACGTACACTCCGAGGGCCAAACATCGACTCGAACCACTATCTTGATGCCGCCTACAGGGCCACGCTGCGATCGGGCGCAACGCGAGCCATGTGGGACCGTTATAGGGAACTGAAGAAGGAAGCAAGACGTATTTGCCGCAATAAGAAGAGAGAGGCTGAAATACGTGAGTGCGAAGAGCTTGAGATGCTGGCCGACAGGAAGAACGCCCGAAAATTCTACCAGAGGGTTAGGCGACTTACGGAAGGTTTCAAGACCGGGGCGAACTCCTGTAAGAACAACAATGGCGACCTAGTGACCGATGTCCAGAATATACTTAAATTGTGGAGGGAACACTTTTATAACCTACTGAATGGTAGCAGCGCTGAAAGTAGTGAGGAAGACGAACCCGAGTCCCCAGTCGATGATGATGGAGTAGCTGTCCCACCGCCTGACTATGACGAGGTACGAATAGCGATTACGCGGCTGAAAAACAACAAAGCTGCTGGAGCTGACGGTCTGCCAGCCGAGCTATTCAAGTACGGTGGCGAGGTGCATGCATCAGCTCGTATGCAGAATATGGTCAGATGAACGCATGCCCGACGACTGGAATTTAAGTGTGCTCTGCCCAATCCACAAGAAAGGCGACCCCGCCATACGCGCCAACTACCGCGGATTAGCCTTCTAAGCATAGGTTACAAGGTCTTATCGAGCGTATTGTGCGAAAGACTGAAGCCCACCGTCAACGAGCTGATTGGACCTTATCAGTGTGGCTTTAGGCCTGGAAAATCCACCATAGATCAGGTATTCACAATACGCCAAATCTTGGAAAAGACCCGCGAGAATAGGATCGACACACACCATCTATTTGTCGATTTCAAAGCCGCTTTCGACAGCACGAAGAGAAGTTGCCTTTATGCCGCGATGTCTGAATTTGGTATCCCCGCGAAACTAATACGGCTGTGTAAAATGACGTTGAGCAATACCACCAGCTCCGTCAGAATAGGGAAGGACCTCTCCGAGCCGTTTGATACCAAACGAGGTTTCAGACAAGGGGACCCCCTTTCGTGTGATTTCTTTAATCTTATGTTGGAGAAGATAATAAGAGCCGCAGAACTGAACCGCTCAGGCACAATACTTTATAAGAGCGTACAATTGCTGGCGTATGCCGACGACATCGATATTATCGGTAAAAACAAGGGCTACGTCTGTTCTGCCTTCTCGGGATTGGATAGAGAAGCAAAGCGAATGAGTCTGGTGGTGAACGAGGACAAAACGAAGTATCTCCTGTCAGCACACAAACAGTCAGAGCATACGCGTCTTGGCACCCACGTCACTGTTGACAGTTACAAGTTTGAAAAAGTAGACGACTTCGTTTATTTGGGAACCAGCATTAACACCAATAATAATGTCAGCCTTGAAATCCAACGGAGAATCACTCTTGCCAACAAGTGCTACTTTGGGCTGAGTAGGCAATTGAGAAGTAAAGTCCTCTCTCGTCGTACAAAGATCACACTCTATAAGTCACTCATCATGCCTGTGCTGGTGTATGGTGCGGAAGCATGGACAATTAAAGCATCTGATTAGGCGGCTCTTGGAGTTTTCGAGAGAAAGATTCTGCGAAAGATTTACGGACCTTTACGCGTTGGTGATGGCGAATATCGCAGACGATTTAACGATGAGCTGTATGAG